AATCTGCGTTCGACTACTCCGCCTAGGCTGCACTGTCCAGCGCAGATCCACTGAGCGCTCAACACAGACAGCATCGTCAGAAGGAAGAGGGCAGGGCACCTCCCCCACCCTCATTCAGATCTGGCGTTTGGAATTATTTTGGTTTTCATGTGACGTATGACCCTGAAGGTAAGCAAGTCATGGACTAAAGTAAAACAGTATGTTGGATGTGCCACGTAATGCTCAATTACATGGGTGGGAGCTAGTGTGTTAGCGCAGTTAGCTCGTTAACGTGTTGGCCGTCTAGCCCCATGCACGGAGCTATCGGCGGTAGCTCGTTAACGGAGATTTGCCGTGTTGTGGCGTTAAGGTCATTTCAACGAGATTAACCTGAAAGCACTAGTGGGAACACAACGAATATGACTGCACATTTACGCCGACATCATCCTAGTGCAAAGACAAGTGGAAGCAGACAAAAAAAAGCAAGCATGCTACTAACTTTAGCCGAGTCATTTAGACAGCTGTTAGCACATGATTCTCCTTATGCTGCTGAGAATATAGCCCAGAAGAAGCGGATAGTATAGCTTTTATTTTGGAAAGAGCCATTTCTCTGTAATAAACTCTCTTTTCCAAAGATGAGTGATTCCTCAATCAGATACAGGGCTTGCAATATCGCTAGCCCGACGTCCCGGAGCTAGCGATTTTTTCAGTCGGGCTACCAAAATCTATCTCTTCCCTGCCCGTCGGGCTATTGTAGGAAAAATATATGTCAATGCTTTTGCATTCTTTCAGAAATGTAGCTGGGTAATTATGTCATTGGCATCGGTGAGCCACTGTCAATATGTGACATATTGAAGTCGCGTTTGAATTTGCGCTTGTTTTTTTGCTTTCACTTTGCAATCGTGCGAACTGTGTATAGAGAGCGACAGCACTGATCTGTGAGTGATGATAATTTGTGCACCAATTCCTCTGACATCGTCTTATTAATCGTTAGCTTACTATGCAAACATGACGCAGCAAGCTTAAACATGTGAGAGGTTGATCGCGCAGAGAATCGCTGAACTTATGTGAGTGCGTGTGTAAAAGCATTTCAGTTCTGCTGAGCCAAATAAGACAGGTCAGGGTGAAGAAGTGATAGCCAAAGAAAAGCTTACCACAAAACGGAGAAGTTATGACAAATCAGACTATAAGGCAAAAAGAAAGTGCAGCTTTATGGTTTCATGGACAAAAGAATTTCTGTGGCTGCAATATGATGAGCTAAATAACCAGGGCTGCACATAAGTGGTCCGCAGGTGCGCATTCGCTGTCAAAATAAAAAACACGCACAAGGGTTAGGGTTAAATTTAAAAACTGTACTTTTGAGTTAAAATATATATTTATAATTTTAATAAATGACAAATTAGAAAATGCATGAACATTTTTTGTATCGAAAAAAATATCGAACCGTGACACCAAAGTATCGAACCGAACCGAACCGTGAATTTTGTGTATCGTTGCACCCCTAATAAATATGTATGTATCAAATATATTTATACATAAATATGTATAAAGTTATGGTGCAGAGATATATGTGTGAGTACACACACACACACACACACACACACACACACACACACACACAAACAGTTTTGTCTGGTTTAATCATATCTGCATATTCCTAGATTGTAAAACTAAATATCAGATATTTTATTTTTCTGGTATTCTTGACATCTTTAGAAAAGGACTCAGCAAGCACAAGAACAACAGCATCATCAACAACTACAGCAAAACCCAAATCAGAAGGATCTATATCAAGCGCAACAACTACTCAAGCACCCACAACAGCAGTTGTAACAACATCACCCTCAACAACAGTCATCAACAGTAAAACAACTATAACAACAACCAAAACTAAATCACCCATGACAACAACCTTTACTAAATCAGTTACAACAACAACCACAGTTGTTGAATCCCTGATGACAAAAAATACAACTACATCGATTGTAATAAGAACCAAAGCTATATCCCTGGGGACAATAAGAATAACTACATCAAATACAACAGTGACCACAATTAAATCACCTACGAAAACAACCACATTTAATTCAACTACAACAATAACCTCAACTAAATCACACACGACAAGAAACACGACAGAATCAACTACAGCAACAACTACAATTAAATCGGCTCGAGCAGCTCAAGAATGCCCAAATGCAGGTCAGTACAGTTTTTCAAATCCTGCCAACATACTGAGCTCTGGTTCATAATAATGTCATGTTTCATTGTTTCACTTATGAACTTTACAGTTCAGTCCAACATCATTCTGATCGTTGTAGCCGGTGGGTTTGCAGTACTGTTTATAATGATTGCTATCGTCATATGGAAAATAAGTAAACGTAAGAATGGTATATTTACAATTTATAAACAAAAATGTTTTTACAAGTCAGTCAGTATTGAACTGAAATGTGTCCTTTTCTATGTTTTTAGTGAAAAAATCACCGACAAGTGGCAACATTGTGAGTTTTCAAATTAAATAATCAGGGTTTTAAAGAATAATGACAACTTTTGTGAATTCTTTTATTTTCTCTATCCATCATTTTCAGTAATAAACTTAAACTAAACTATGTTTGTCCAGGAAATGAGCACAGACAACTGCCATGTACCAGGAACCAGTCAAGAAAGGGTGAGATTATGCACCAGTGCAAATTCACGCTTGTTTCATATTTACAAGTACAAGACTGAGTACAAGTATTTTTTACTCGGGTGACAGAGCACATGTATTTTTTTCTCTAAGTGTGTTTAAGTGTTTATTTGTTACGTTTCTTACTCTTATCTCACAGGCTCACAGTAAACGTCAGGAAGGTGATGTGGCGACCAACAGGAGAGTCAGAGTTTCCTACGCCTCTTCTGCAGCTTCCAGTGATAGCAGCAGCATCTACGCCACCATGAAAAGAATCTAATGGTCCAGAATTCGAATGAGAAAACTAGCAAATGAAACTTTTCATTTGTTTAACTATATTAAGAGAGATTTTCTGCATATCTGCTATGTTTTTTACATCAGCAGTCTCCAACCTTTTTTGCGCCATGGACCGGTTTATGCCCGACAATATTTTCACGGACCAGCCTTTAAGGTGTCGCGGATAAATACAACAAAATAAAACTAGTACCGGTACCGAAAAAAAGAAAATGTATTCATAAACTATACATTTCACACCTGAGCCTCAACTCTCGCGGCTCGGTACCAAACGACTCACGGACCGGTACCGGTCCGAGGCCCGTGGGTTGGGGACTGCTGTTTTACATAACAGTTATATATTCCAGATATTTTAACCCCTGTTTTTTCAGTGTTTTTTTCCTATCTTACATTACATAAATACCATACATACATATCGTTTGATAATCAGTCTTTAGCTTTTCATATTCACATCTTAACATTTGCACTGACCTTTTTCATATTTAAGCATTCATAATTATTTGTTATAGTTACAAGTATTAGTAGTATTACTTAGTAAAATTTAATTTTCAGTAGTATATATTATTCAATATTTAGTAATATTCAATATCATGCCTGAAATTCATTATATAACCTTCATAATTTATTTTTGTCTAGTTTTATCTAATTAACAATCTAAAAGTACATTTTCATTTACATTAAAATGTGCTTAATTCTTTTTTTAAACATCAACCAAAATGTTTTTTTAATTTATTTTATATTTTTCAGATTTACGAATAGATTAAATACAGTAATAGTAATAGCTGTAATACTGTGACATCAAGAGTTATGACCAGCATAATCTTAATGAAGTATACATTTGTAAAATTTCTTTCTTATATTGCAGTATATTGTATTTTTTTAATAGTAGTAGTATGCAGTTATATACAATCAATATGCAAATGCTTTCAGGTGCATCTTTTTATTTTTAAGATTAATTCACATAGTTGCCATTTAATCTCACTTTGTCGCAGGTTTATGCTGTGACTTTCGTACATGAAGTCACAATCTCTCATGTATCAGAAATATTAATCAATAATGTTTTGTGTTGTTGGTTATGATGTTCTTTCTGAGTTTAATAAAGCATTTTAATGTTCAGCATTTTTTTTTCAAATAAACACAGATATTGAAAACAATGATTTTCACATACAAGGTCTTGAATAATCAGGCCCAATCTAAACACCTCATCTTATAACCCAGTAGACCGCTTCACTCTAAAACTGCAGGCTTCTTGTGGGTCTTAGAGTATTTAAAATTAGAATGGGTGGCAAAGCCTTCATCTTTCAGGCTCCTCTTCTGTGGAACTAGCTTTCAATTTGATTTTGGAGGCAAACACTATCTCTGCTTTTAAGATTAGGCTTACAACTTTCCTTTTTGACAAAGCATGTAGTTAGGGCTGGATCTGTTAGGTGTGGCTGTGTGCAGGCAGGAATAGGACCCAAGGTGCAGACTCCGGAGACAGACGTGAACTCAAAAAAGGCTTTAATTTAATACTCAAAATATAACAAAACTAAAAAAACTCAAAACAAACTTAAACTAGAGAAATGACAGAACACACAGCTAAGAAAACGGTAGATCGCGACATGGACACAGAGAAACACAGGGCTTAAATACACAGAGGGAGCAATCAGGGAATGGGTAACAGGAGGGAAACACAGCTGGGGCAAATCAGAACTGACGAGACCAAAGAAGCATAAACTGAACACACTGAGAAAAGACAGAGACCTTCAAAGTAAAACAGGAAACACATAACACAGACTGAACAAAGACACAGACTCACATGCAGGCACTACAAAGGGAACAGAGACGTGGGAACAGGGCAGACAAACACTGACTGAACACGGGGATATAGGAACTTAAGATACACATAGACGCGAACTAGACAAGGGGATGCAGGTGATAGGGGAGACAGAGCAACTAAAGACGACAGAGACATAAGCCATAAGACGGAACTCAAAGAAACCAAAAACTAGGAAGTATAAATAATATCAAAAACTCAAAAACCCTGGGTCGACGACCCAGGCATCCTAACAGGATCAGGTGACCCTGAATCCTCCCTTTGTTATGTTGGAATAGGTGTAGGCTGCTGCACTGAATATTTCTTCTTCAGTCACCTTTTCCACTCATTATGTGTTGATACACCTCTCTGTATTTAATTATTGGTTATTATTAATCTCTGGCTCTCTTCTTCCCGTGAGCCCAACCAGTCACAGCAGAGCCTGGTTCTTCTGGAGGCTTCTTCCTGTGTCTACAGAGAATACATGTCATATTTTTTGTAATAATGTGGAAGAGGGAATAACAAGCATATATATTTCATTATAAAATCTTTAACAGTATATGCTCCGCTAGATTTAATCAGTACATTTTATAAAGAGACCGTATAGATCTGACTGATCTGATGCTGAAATAGTAATCATTACAATATGCAAAATAAGTTCAGAACCAAACTGTAAACACAAAATCAAGATAGAACACACGTTGTTCTGGGTGAACAATGTTAACAATTCAATACTCAATTCAGTTTCACACAGCTGCATTTATATGTTGCCAACTCCTTTTATATATTATGTAACAAAGTTTGGATATAACACAGTTTAGATTTGCAGAAGTGTAAATCTATGCTGACACATAGTAAAGCATGCACATATGAAGTAAAACCTCAGCAATCAAACGATGAACTATAGGCAGCAGTTGGCAGAGGTAGGAAGAAAAAAAAGAAGTTATTTTAACAAGAAGTAATCTTCAGCAGAACCAGGCTCAGGGAGGGGCCGCTATGTGCCATGAAGGGAAAATGTAAGGAGAGCCAGGAGAAATACACAATCACCATTGGAAGAGAAAATAGGAAAACTCAGTGTGAAGTGTGAATTAATGTTTATACTGCATCAATGCAAAGGACAGAATTTGAATGAGATGAATGGAATAAACTGTGAAAGAGATCAGTTTAGTTTGTATTAGTAGTGAAAATCCCATCTTATCTTTTCATAAACACTTTTTCTGAACCTCAGTGGAAAATGTCAAGGAAAGGTGTGACTCTGACAAAAGTTAGAATGGATTGGTTCAGTGTAACTGAAGATGTTGGTGTGTCAGTTGACTGTCTACACTTGGGTTAAGCCTAAATGCATAGTATTGTATTTACAACAAACGGAGGTTTCTATCTTCTGAATCATCTGTAGATTGTGGGTATGCTGAATGCACTAGTCAGATGCATGTCTGAATTACCCTGATTAAATGAATACAACACTGGAGATTAAAAATATCCTTACAAAGCTCCTCGTGGTGCCGCAGGTTTCTTTCGGAGTCTCAAACTGATTTTTCTTGCTTAAAGAAGAATCAAGGAAACACCACCCCTTCTACCTATTTCATTAGCAGCTTCTTTTATATAAATGATTTCTTGTTTAGAATTAATTACATCAGCCCACTGTGTCTCACAAGGGGACAGCACACAGTTTAACATTTGAAGGGTTAGGGATCAGGCTATCAGATGGTGATAGAAGCAGTTCATCATCTGAAACCCCAGATGGCAGAGCAATTCGGAAGTGCTGCAGAAGGAAGGTGAAGAAGATGAAGACTTCCATCCTGGCCAGCCTTGCTCCGGGACAAACCCTGCGACCTGAAATACAAAACAAAAAAATATACTAGATTATATCTGTGAGTAGACTGGGTCTTGACAAGAAGTTGATTACAAACCTGCAGAAAAAAACCATAAAGGCATCACGCTGGATAAACTTTTCATCTTTGTCCAGGAAGTGTTCCGGATAAAAAGTGTACGGTTTCTCCCATTTACTCTCATCAGACAGAACAGAAAACAGGAAAGGATACACAGCTGTCCCCTGTTGAATACACAAACCTTTATTTCTTGCATTTTTTAATATATATTCACAGAATATTACACAAAACTCATATATTGTTTTTACATGCGACTTAAAAGTAAAATTGCATCTGGGACAAACAAGTTTTGGATGAAAACATTTTTAGAACTTAAAAATGCAAATAACTGATTGATGAAGACTGAAGAGTGTATAAAACGTTGATTTTCATAATAATTTGGATAATCACATACTAACTGATCAGAGGAAGAATCCTTCACTCTGCTTTGTTCCACATCTGTGACGATGTTTTAGTAATCAAATCTCTGATCATTTGTTAAGCTGTAATATACAATAAACACATCATTTGTGTTCTGATATATTTTACCTTCTTAATGAAGTGACCCCTAAAGAGGTCCTGAACTGATGGAACTTCTTTAAGATTCTTCAAGACATTTAAAACCTTTAAAATTCAGAAAAAGGTGTTAAAAATCACTTCTTTGAGAAATTTTATTTTTTGACTAAATTTCTCGAAATTTAAAGGAGTGAAGTTGTTTTCTCTCCACAGCCATTAATCAGCTTTTACCTTTGAAGGGTTTAAAAGCTTCCAAAAGGTAATGACACTCCTCGATGATTTTGTCCTTCAGCTTCATCATCGTAAACTGCCTCATCTTTTTTCCATGATTAGCCCATACAATACCTGATTTGATCAAAACAAATTTCAATGACATACACATGGCAATATATATTTTCAAATTATGATGCACAACAGGAAATGTATTTGCCATAATCTTGTCTTTTTAATTACTCACCCTGTCCTCGAAATAGCTCATCCATAATTGGTATTGGATCCCTTTCTCCAAATGCTTCAGCATAGTCAACAAGTGCCTCCTTTACTGTGTTGTATCCTAACAGGAACACTACTTTTTTGGTTCCCAGATAGATGGTGAAAATTGATCCATATTTTTTGGATAACAAAAAAACACCTTAACCCATCCATGCTTATCATACATTACAGTATGACCCTGTAACATTCACTAACGTCACATATATTCTCTTCAGGTCCAGCTGCAGCAGGTTCCCAATTAAAGGAAGTGGTGTGGGTCCAGGAGGCTCTTTTCCATCCTTTTGGGTGTGAAAAATGTTGGAGGAATGTAAATAGAACAGTAGAAAGACTGTCAGAGCTGCAAGTAAAACAACTGAATAAATGGACTCGAGGAAAACATGTAATATCTCCACGGCTTAAACACAGATGAGTTTGAACTGAAAGACACGATGACTGAGGGTTATGATGAACACAATAGGAATGAGACACGGTTCAGAAAACCTAACTCATATTACTGTACTTTGGTCTGTGCTAACTGATTAGGAAACAGGGGATGATTGACACATTCACTTAGTGTTCTACATCTTAGACTGTTGTTTATTGTCATTGTATCAGTTTAGCCCAAGATGTCCATTAATGTGTCACTGTCTTTTAGTTAATTTGTATCTGTTAGTTCTTTAAACACAAACGGGCATGTCTTTAAAAAAATAACTAGTTGTTCTTTAAGAGGGACAGATGGTTCAAATGTCAGCGTGACATTTCAGGCAGGTGACATTGACACCTAAGTTTGTGAATGTGTTTACTTGAAAACAAGGCAACATAGGAGCTTCAAGTTGATACGATAGGTGTAGCTACTAAAGATTTCAGGTGAGTGTAAATGTCAGTGACTTTGACATAAAGTTCAGAGGTCAAGTTTTCTGAAAAAATCATGAAAGCCATAACTCAAGAAGATTTTGAACTCAATACCGTAGCCGTATGTACAATAAATCTTGGATGAGTTTTCTGAAAATTTTGTAGATGTCAAAAAATTACTTTTCAACAAAATGCAATAGGATTTTGAAATTTAGATCATAGGATCAGCTCCTAAGATTCGTGGACGAGTTTGAATCTCAGTGACCTCGACTTCAAGGTTGAAAAGAAAAGTCAGAGTTTTTCTTAAAATCTTTTGAATGCGACAAATCAAGAATGAGATGACGTAGGATTATAAAATTGATACCAGAGGTGTGCCTACTAAGAGGTTGAGGGGTAACATTGGTGGCTGCCAGTAGTTTTCAGATCATCGTTGTTGAAAATTTTTCACTGAAAATTATTTTACTGCATTTGAGTCTTGTTTCATCTCATCGCAAACCAGGCATAAAATGAAAAATTTCTAAAACTCTGAAAACATTTAAGTACATTTTTAAAAGTAGCAATTTAGTAGCTTTGTAAATGCACTAGAGTAGATTTCACAGGTATTTTCTTCATGCTACATGTCTATCCGCACGTTATTCTCAGCAGCTCTGTGTTTTATTGACTTTATTGGCAGCTCTCTGTCCATCTGAGGTGCATGAACTGTAACAACCCTTACTGTGTTACAGCACCACTAGGAGGGGTTGCCCTACTATTGTAATCGTTGGGAGAGTCCTCCTAGTGTGTGTGAGTATAGTGTGGCAACCATTACATGCTGCTAGTGTGTCTGTTCCGAGAGAGACCTTGCCATTGTAACAGGCTGGTGCCAGCGACTACCTATCCCCTCACATGTATGTACGGACGGAGTAGAGCCGTGGAGACCTGGCTTGTATGGTCTTATGTTGCTAATGTCAAATAAAGGTCTGTTGATCAACTTAACTGACTGGCTTCGAGTTATCCAGCTAACCGCCACACCACATTCCCACTGGACCAGTTAGCTGCTCTTTCCTCGCCAGATTGCTGTTACAGAACAGTCTGGAGAGCAAGATGAGCAATATTTTTTTAGTCATCTCAAAGGGCACAAAATTGGATCTTATAGCTTTTAGAAGTTTTTCAAACTCATGTTATCTGTGTAACCCCAGTCACGAGTCTAGACAGCTTGGCACAGTGTGTAATGATTTTTATTAGCAACAAGAGCATTTTTTGACTTGCATTGTTGTCACGACCACAGCTGCCGAGCTTCCTAGCTGACATCAGTACCTCACTCCGGGTCCCAGCGTCACTGTAAAAGGGGTGAGATGTGATTACACAATAACATACAGTTGTCCACCAGCCTCTCTGGCACTGCCCCTTGAGCCTGCTGCACCACCCCTCCCCTGCAGCGAAGTCAAAGACCACACCTCTGCCACAGTCTGATTTACAGTTTTTTCTGATTTCTTAAGCACATTTTTTGTAACTATTGGCTAATTTTGCAAAACTCTTCACACAAATAAGAAAACCTGTCACCCAATCATCAAAACATTGTAGTTCTCTTGCAAAAGCGAACACAGCTAGACTAACTCTTCACACCTTCGTAAAAGTGATGTTTCCGTATCAAACAGTACACACAAGCCATCATCTACTAAGCACACAATGCGCCAACTGCACACTGATGGTATGAATACAAAACACATCTGGCTTTTGCTTTCTCTGTGCACAAGGTAGGCTATGTCAGTTTGAGCTCATACTTCTGTCATAGATCCATAAGCATAGAGGGATCCAAACTTCAAGTACTGGTGTTTATTCAAACACATCAAAACAAACACAAGTGTTTATTTCCAAGTATAGGATTATTTGCAATCGCCATAATGACTATAAGGGTTACTTGGTCTGCAGTGAACATGCTTCCTCTGCCCCCAGCATCTGGTCATCTAGCAATTCTGTAAAGTAACAATTTCAGTATTTTTACATCAATGGTATTGGTGTGTTTCTCATTGGCATATGGCAGTGCTACAAATCTTTGTGCGAAGTGACTGTACTAACCGATTCTCATTTCAAGATGTCCCTATGGTACTTGCTACAGTGTAGCGGCTCGAGTTAGGCTGGACCCGTTGGCCAGCTACCCTCAGGGTCACTCCACGGTTGATTACATGGTCCACTATTGTAGCTCTGATGTCATCAGTAATTCTATTTCTTACTCTTCCTACCCTTCCTCTCCCCCCTCCTCATTTTCCTCTCCCCCCTCCTCATCTTCCTCTTGCTCCTCCTTGTCCTTGTCGTCCTCTTCATCCTACTTCTTCACCTCCACGTCCTCTTCCTCGGCCTCCTCTTCTTCTCACTCTTTCTGCTCCCTCCATTGTACTCCGCACACACAGCTTACCTGTATTACAGTTTTTTTCAGTCGCTAACAAGCGTTTGTCCAAACAGTTGTCACATTTGCAAAACTCTAAACACAATTAGCACAGCATCGGTCTGTTGTGGCCATACCATTCACACATTTCATGTCGTGTTCACCCAATATGCAGTCAGTGAACACATTTCCACAATGCTTACATTTTCTTAACAGACAAGCTATACCTCCCAACAAAATTATGGACTGTTTTTGTAGTATGTACGAATGTTAACACACAACATCCCACAATAGCAAAAACAATATTCTAAACCTTAGATACAGTATAAAAACCTCTGCTTCTGCAATGATATCAGTACAAAAACAATATCAATATCAAAAATATATCTCAGCTGATAATAAACAAACAACTGAATAATTGACACACAGCTGATTTATGTTGGGTAAATTGGGCCAACCACAGCTTCTTCCATTCTGGCTTAGACTCAGTGGGGTTTATAAGGCAAGACCTTGAGGAGTGATGTTTTTGGAAACAAAAAAAAGACAAACACTGTAATGTCTGGTCGAGGAAGAGTAAGAGCAAGGGGCCCAGGGAGAAGAGAAGGCCCAAGGAGAGGGCAAGGTAGAGGTGTGAGAATGCGTGGTGGTGGCATTCCAAGGGCTGCAAGAACAGTAGTCAGTGATGAAATTCGTGCCACTATCATTGACCATGTAATCAACCATGGTCTTTCACTAAGAGAGGCTGGTGAAAGAGTGCAGCCCAATTTGAGGCGGTCAACAGTTGCCTCCATTATACGCATCTTTCAACAAACCAACAGGTAAGTATTGCATTTTACATGGATTGTTTCTATTCTCACTTGACATGTCAATATGGTCATACAGTAATGCATATGTTGAATTTTTTGTCTTTCTAAAGAATGCAACGTCTTCCACCCTCTGGGGGAAGAGGAAAGCTCCTCAGTAATGATCAGGAGCTTGCCATTGTAGAAATGGTTACTGCAAATAATGCAATAAAACTGCGTGAAATTCAAACTAGAATTGTGGCGGACCATGAGATATTTGACAATATCGATAGAATCAGCCTCACAACCATTACGCGGACATTGTCCAAACACAGAGTGCGGATGAAGCAGCTCTACACTGTTCCCTTTGAGAGGAACAGTGAGAGGGTCAAGGAGCTACGACGACAATATGTCCAGGTATAGTGTATATTCAATCCAATGTCCAGTTCTATAAGCTTTGCACTTTGCAAGTAGGTAACCTACACAATACTAGGTTACAGTACAGTATGGTATACAGTACTAACATGACTTACATAAACTTTGTTTCAGAGAGTTATGGAATTGGAGGCCAACCAGGCCCCTCATGAATTCATATACATCGATGAGGCAGGATTCAATCTGGCCAAAAGGCGTCGACGTGGACGAAATGTAATTGGAAAAAGGGCCACAGTTGATGTGCCAGGACAGAGAGGGGCAAACATTACCATGTGTGCAGCAATTGCAAATGCAGGATTACTCCTTCACAGATGTCAGGTTGGACCCTATAATACAGAGCGCTTGCTTGCCTTTCTCAATGATCTCCACCAGTGCCTGGTTCCAGAGCAAGGTCAGGAGGGTGAAAACACGAGGACCTTT